ACGGGATTGAAGATTTATAAATGGCTATTCACAGCCAAACTTCGTTCTACATAAAACACATGATTTCAGCTGTTGTTTGCTCTATACACTTCGAATATTCTCATCAAATGTATGACAGTATGATCGTATTTCTTCAATTCGCTTTACTATCCCGTCCAACACGAAAATCGGAATTGAAAAGGCAAGTAAATCTTTGGAACTGTTGTAGAATATGATAAACTGACAAATTCGCAAATATAGTAAATTTAAATCCAGTGGCAATATGGCGTTTTACGGCCATGATATCCTAGTCCGATAAATCTTATTAAAATCGAGCTTTCTTTCAACCTAGGTGTAAAGAGATTGAAGATTTATAAATGGCTATTCACAGCCAAACTTCGTTCTACATAAAACACGTGATGTTCAGCTGTTGTTTGCTGTATACACTTCGAATATTCTCATCAAATGTTTTTCGCTTCACTATCCCGTCCAACAGGAAAATCAGAATTTAAAAGGCAAGTAAATCTTTGAAATTGTTGTGGAATATGATAAACTAACAAATTCGCACATATCCTAGTTCGATAAATCTCATTAAAATGGAGCTTTCTTACAAGGGTGTTATGTGTATATGAAAGAAAACAACCTGTATTTTTTTCTGTATATTCTTGTGTTATAGATATCACAAAATACATACTGTACACTAGTACACTACAGTATAGACCCTCTGTGATTTATATACAATCATAGTTTCAATTGTATGAAAATGATGTTCTTGTAATCTCCATTGTAGAGCAAAGGCCGCGCGAATCATTTGTTTTATGTTTATCAACTCGAACTGGAACACGCGATTGGAACAAGATGGCTTCCAGCAATGGGAAATATGTTAAAAATGTAGTGGATATGTATTTGTGTTCTCTTCATATCATGAAAGGGTAAGTAATTTTTGAAATTGTATGCATAAATTGTTTGTCTTAAGGGACCGGTCATTATTAATGGCCGGGGGTGGGACCGAAGAGAAACTCCCAAAGTCCAAAAAAAATTTTTACCCACCCATTCAACATCAATAAATTTTCCCTGACCCACCCAACAATCTTTCAGGTTTTTTCCTAACCAACCCCACCGAGTTTGCTTATATACAATATCACAAAAAAGTGGTATTGACGAGTATACCTGTCAATGTTCCACCAAATCGAAAGCCGTGGAAATTACACACACTGGTATTAACTGGTCGAGAAGCACGTTTATGTTGAGTATTATAATAGCAAGTTGGCAAGAAGAGATTTATTTATTATTGACCACTGAAATTGACCATGCACTGAAATTGACCCGATCTTACATCATCGGAATTCATGGGAATTATAATGAATATCATGTCTAATCCCCAGTTGTCCCTCGAATTCCTGTAAATCACATGGCACGTTGTTGTTTTGAAGGAGAATCTAGTGAATATTCGAGATGGCTGAGAATTTAACGTTCGAAAATTTTATGTCTTCATTGAAATTTACTGAGGAATATCTGCAGCGTTTTAAAGACACTGGCTTTGACGATGTGGAGTTGATCAAGACCATGGATGCTGAAGAGAAACAACAAATGTTTGATATTGTTGGCTTGGTCATTTGTTGAAATTCAAGAAAGCTCTTTCTAGTCTTGAAAAGCCATCGATTGACATCGTTGGAGGCACGAATGATATAAATATGAATACAACACCAACGACGACCAAGCCGACTTGTGTTAAACGAGGAAAGGCTCAATGTAGTAAGTGGATTTCAGGAAGGGTTAATTCCCAATTGTTGATTCCCAATTGTTAATTCCCATTTGTTGGAAAAGATACAATGACTTCCCTTCAGATGTTAAGGTAGATGATGTCTCCAAAAGCCAACGTGCGGTTGAGCATTTTAATGGAACTATAAGTTCATTAAAGTCCTTGAAAGATCAACTGTTGTCAAGGAAAAAGGAACTCTATAATGAACATATGGAGGAAAATTCATGGGCTGGTGATGAAATTAAATTTATTTGTGAATCAATTTTCCAAATTGAGGAAATGATGAATGGAATTGAAAAGATCATGCATGATGTTCAGCATGTAATGCATCAACTTGAGAAGAGGTTTGATGCAGCTGATGTTCGAAAGACTGAAAAGAGAAGACGGGCCAGGAGAGATAAAGAAACCAGAACAAAACTAAAAAAGAAAAAAAGGATTGTGCAAGAAAGGCATGAAGCACAAGTGGCTGAGCAAGTGGAATGTGCAAGTTTTTCCTCAGTTGAGGATGCTCTTGTTTATAACATTGATGTTGAATGACTGACAGACAGTATCCTAAAACAGTACATTGTATTATTGTACAGTATTTCATGTAGTCTCAGTATTTTAAGAATAATATAAATTTTATCTATGCTAAAAAAATTTTACCCACCCCAACCACTATTCCATTTTTTCTTAACCCACCCTTGGGTACCTTCAAATTTTTCTTTACCCACCCCTTTTCTCTTCGGCCTTAATTCCACGGGCTAAATTTTCAAGCGAAATGCGAAATATTTCTCCTGCTTCTTTTGAATTGTGAGCAATGATGCATAATTAATTGATTCAAGCGGTCAAAATTCAAAAGAAACAGACGAAATATTTCGCATTTCGCCGAGAAAAGGCGCCCGTGGAGTTAGGCCCTTAGAGTTAGGCCCTTAGAGTTAATATGTGGATATCAACATGTTTCATTGTGAATTTTAAAATTTAGAGAATGGCATCGACGATATGCCTATAGAAATGTCCATTGCAATAATCTGTTTAGTAAAACTCTTGAAGGCTGCTGAACGGCGTTTGCATCAGCGCAAATAAAAAAATAAAACAATGCTGGCAGCAGATCATGAGGTTTGTTTGCCCCAGCAACCCTTTTGGACTATAATATGGTTGACATCTAATATAGGATTTCTTCATTTGTCACCTACATTCATTGAAATCTACAAAAGCTTTATAAAAACTAATAGCACTATTATAGAGCACCTGTATTATATATATTTTTGGAAGAAACCATGTAATTTTGCACTATATCAGTGATGACATAAGCCTTATATGGGGGGCACCTGTTCCTCAACACACACAGTGCCCCCCTGGCAAAAATCCTGTTTACAGCCTTGGGGCCAGTTGTTCAAAAGGTGCATGGATAAAGTTATCCACTGGATAGTGACCTAATTTTTCAACTGTCGTAAAAAAGCTTTGAAAAACAAGAAAGCTACTTATGACCCTTAAAAAGTATTTTAACTTCACAACTGTGAAGTTAAATCTTGGCTATGCCAAGTGGTGAAGATATGGCATATATAATTGCCTGGATTTTGCCCATAATTGCACACTGAAACCTCCCACCAGATTGTTCAAAAACCTTATCTGGTAAACAGTATCATTACCTGCTCAACCAATATCAGCCATTCAACCATCAGTACCAATCTGGATCTGTATTTATATATGCTTAAATAGTTGCAATTATAGCATAGTAAATTCATATACCTGCGTAATATATGTTTGTTTCTGTAGGCGAGACCTAAGATCTCTTGCTTCTTTAGCAATGTTGCACCATTTCGCAGAATGTTTCTCGGTGAGCAGTTTTCGTTTGTTACACTCTCTGCGACCTTTCGAGGTAAAGCTTCAGATGCGGTCGAACGCTTAATTATGGCGCGCTGTTGACGCATTCTTTCTTCGATGACGCATTCGTTTATTCGGGCCTCAAAGTTGGCTTTTTTTCGTGGCTTTTTCACCGGAAGTGACGTACATTGGAGAACAGAGGGACCTGTACATGAAGAAAGAAGGCTGCTTTTATTTTGCAAAACATCCGGACTATCCCAGTGTCAGATTGGAAAGTGAAATAGATAAAGGCACTATATTATTACATATAAAGCACGTGTTTTCTTGCCTGTTGATTTCCAAAAGCTGTTTGAAAATACTGACATTTCACCCTATTGTTTCTTTAATTGACGATATTGACGATACGAATTTCTATGTTGATTTGTACTATATTACACTGGCGAAATTTGACTCATGAAATCACAGGATCGAACTATCTAAATTCTCCCGCAAAATCCGAAAGCAACCATCCTCGTAGTACAATTTTCTTTAAGAATTAACTTCAAGATATTAAAAATTTTATAATAAAAGATAATATGAAACCAGACATTTTTCTCCGATTTTATTTTTCTGTAACTTACCCATTGCAATACCCAGGCTTGTCAAGTAGTTCACGTTGTTCCTGTGGAAAAGGGGACGCCCTTAGAATTGCCACTGATAGTGTAGTGGTATTATAGCATGTACACCGCTTAAAATAGTGGTAATCCAGAAAAGAAGAGGGGTTAGAGACTCTCCTTTCAAAATATATTACAAAATTTCTACTTGTTTTCGTACGAAGAATTTAAAACTGCGGAGTCGGGTACTGTTTTGAGGATTCAAACAAACATCTGATGTTTCTTGATGACATGTGGATTTTGAAGTTCCACTGGTATATCGCTGTAGGATGAAATAAGTTCCGATTAAATTTCCTGCAGTTACACGTAATTGTAGAGATATGAATCCGATCAGCATAAGTATATCGCTCATGCATATATATGTTGAGTTGAGCCTAAATTTAGTGTGTATATTTAATATAGTGAATACCAAACAATATCTGACGATACTGTATACGCCAATGGCAATGGCCGAATAGCCCAATATAAACATCTCTTAGTGGTAGTACCTTGTTGCAGCAAATTATAGTAATGACACGTCTTTGCATGATAACACCTTTGTACAGCACAAATGCCTCTGAAAATAGTCAAGAGAACTTTCATGAACTGTGGGGATTACTACCTTATTTTAAGGGCAAAATATTGCGAGGGTGGTTATACAACCTGTGCACCTATACAGTAGATAGTAAATTATTCAGTGTATCGACCGTGTAAGAAAATGGGTACATGGTATGTAGAATTTGAGCTACAAACCTACTTACCAACGGTCAATGAAGTCATTTACACTTGCCTTGGCCGTTTGTTTCTTGTTCAAGAACCTGGGGGTGAATGCACAGCTGGTCACCTGATCCTGGCACACATACGTTCGGTCTCAAACATAAAACAATAGAAAACGTCAATTTCAACAGTTAAATCTTCGTTTCCCGGTTTTGCTTACCTAAACGTGAGAAACACAGGAGTTTCTTGTAAAACATCCGAGGCTCGTATCAATTTTTTTGACGGTCTGTTATCAGGATGTGTTTGACTTGTATGTTTCGATCATAGTTTCATGTCCATAGCTTGTTTCATGTCCAGGATGCACGAAATTATTCCTAACTTTTAATTCTAAACCTCACCCTAACCCTGACCTAATTGCTTATACTAAAAGATTTGAATCAAGGATTATATTCGCGGACACTGGACATGAAATTATTACTTATTTCCACCAAATCTGACAGGTTTTTAGCAGATTCGCCAACAAGCTTATTACTATACAAGGTTTTAAACTTGACAAGCCGTCTTAAATGTATGTGTTTAAAGACTTTGGTATTAATACGTCGAAAAAATACAGTAGACACCATACCTTTCTTTAGCAAACAACAAGAAACAGCACCCTTGTTCTCTGGGTTGCAAACGTTTTCATAAAATCCTTCCATTGCCTAAAACAGACCATAAATCCTTTGATAAACCTCAATCAGCTTGTTCATTGCGAGTTATTTAGTTGAACATAACCTCCTGATCAAAATGATTTTTCGTCCTCGTAAAAACGTACAGATGAACTGTTTAACTATATATTCATTTGTTAAAAAGTCTAGTCTTAAGATTTCGCTGGATGGCAATAGAACTAACCTCTGTAAATTCGTTTTTTCGTCGTGGCTCAACAAAAATAGTTTTTTGTGTCTCAAGTCGGTTCCATAGACCAAAACTCTTACAAAACAAAGGATAATCATTGTGAATTAACGTAACGGACTAGGATATGAAATATCGTTCCTATATCAGTTTTAACAACACACAAAACCCTAACCGATTTAGAATTTCGATCTAAGGAAGCACCATCAAAAGGTCCAGTAAGATTAATCTGTATAAAAATCACATTAGCTGTATTTATACAAGAGACGAACAATTCATCGGGACGAACCTACACAAATTTTATATTAAAAGGTAATATGAAACCAGACATTTTCCTACGATTTAATTTTTTTAACTTACCTATTGCAATCCCCATTTTTGTCAAGTAGTTCACGTTGTTCCTGTGGAAAAGGGGACGCCCTTAGAATTGCCACTGATAGTGTAGTGGTATTATTGCATGTACACCGCTTCAAAGTAGTAGTAATCCAGAAACGATGAGGGGTTAGAGACTCTCCTTTCAAAATATATACTAAAAAAATTTCTACCTGTTTTTGTACGAAGAGTTTAGAACTTTTGAGGATTCCAACAAACATCTGATGTTTCTTAATGACATGTAGATTTTGAAGTTCCACTGGTAAGCCCTTATAGGTTTCCTAAATCAATCACCGTTATTAAAAAATGACTATACAAAAGATCATCTTGTAGCTTAATGTTATGGTGGACGTAATTGATCACCTTTGTCGCCACCAGCTGCTTTGCTGGTTGACCAAACATCCAGTTGCTTCCTCTTCCAACCGTCATTCGCTTGCTGTTGAACATGAACCTAAAAAACACAAGAAACTTAATTTGGCTACAGCAATACATGAATTGTCTCATTTTTCATTAACTACCTGCCATGCAGAGTTTACTTTTAATACACACAGGTTGAGATGATTGCACCGTAAATGTGCCAGCTTGTTGCACATCTTTCTTTTCGCTCGACCCTAATGCATCGCTGTTCTGAAAAACTACCTGGGATGCAATAATGTGGAAAGATTGGACTAGATTTTATCCGTGAAAATGATTGTTTACGAAAATGATTGTTTACAACAATTACGACACAAAGGAAACCAGGTTAACGACTGCTTGAAGACATGTAGATAAGTGGAGCTACAAGAAAGCTATTACAGCAATAAACGTCAAAAAATATCAACATACGAGCCCTTTCCCCAAATTTCTACCACTAAGTCTTCTATCATGTCAAAGACTACTGTATACGTACTTTCAAGGCGTCCGCGAACTGTCTTTGTATTGCACCACCAATTTGATCTACATTGAAGAAGATTTGCTTAAATAATGTATGCATTTCATTTCCCAGTTTTAACAATAGGTTGCTGCAATACTGGCATATTGAATCATGCAGAGCTTGCTCCAACTCGATAATCGCCTAAAATTCTTTGCACATCCAAATTTAACAAATGAAATGTTGAAACAAGCTCGGAAACCACTCATAAACTCACTTGCAACGGACAATGAAATCACTTTCTCGAGTGATTTCGTACTTTGACCAGAAGTTCGAAAATGTAACTGGGTGACAAAAAGACAAAAGACTGCAAAAGTTTAGGCATTTCTAACGAGGCTGCAGTCATATAATGCTTGTTTCAACAATGTTTTCAAATAAATTGTATACTGCACCTGCCGGGATGTGTAATTATTTGGAGGATGAAGATGTTACAGTATGCAATTCTTCCTCTAGCTTCAAGACCAAGCCTGGAAAATAAACAAAATTGACCCAATTATAATACGAAATCAGGCTAGCAAATCACGTCAAAAGAGGAGGCTGGGTATTATAAATGAACTAGCCGTAATCTGATTGGCTTGATAACCGATGCAAATCACTAGCTGTTCAATGAACTGCGTACAGCTGAGAAGAGGTATACAAAAATATTCCTAGCCACCATTTTAGTATTCCTCAATTTCCATTCGTGGCTTCACCTACTACACGTTCCAGGTATATTTATTGATTATATTTACAAGAGGCCCATTTTGATGTGCGGTTTCAATCCTGATATCATGACTGGCAACCGAAAGCTATACATATACCTTTTATGTATGCGATTTCCTGTTTATCCAAATCTCCATCATCTGGTAAACAGAAATACGAGATTTTTAACACAGCTGATTGTACAAAAAGGCGATCAACTATGGTTAGCGGCAGAATTGCTCAATCAGAATCCTCTCTTTAGGGGGTACATTGATATTTCGCAAAAGATTTCTTAATTTACGAAACTTTAAGAACCATACCAGAGAGAAATTCTAACAGTGGTATGACAACTTGAGGCGTTGGCGAAAGTTTAGTAAACTTTTCCAGATATGTTGGGAGCAGTCTAAGGAACGAAAATTTAGAAATTATTGCTCAAAAAACCTTGTATTTGTGAAGGAGTATCTCGCATAACAAGAGACGTTACATTTAGGCTGGAGTTTGTTGAAATACATTTCTGTAAATTCACTGAGTGCATTATCAAGGCACGATTTCAAATATCTCCAAAGCAATAAACTTATAAAACGCTGCAATTACTTAAATCAACTTCATTCTTTACAAAGTGCTAATGGACATAAAAAAGTCTCAAATTCCAGACTATCTTAAGTAGCCTTACCTTGCCATAACTGGCAAGGCATTTCTAACATACATATGGTGAGACAGGATACGCATAACGTCGCGGAATGAGCAACCAAACTAATCTGCAAAGTACGCATCAGACAAAACTAGACGAAATATACAACAACGTTTAAGCGAGAACAGACAACGGCTGAAAATAAAGTCAAGCAGGTTCTTACTTGTTCATCTTGACCAATGAAAATGTGGTACGTACACAGCTCTGTTAATACCTTCACATGTTACAATAAAATATCCAATTAAATTATTAGTATGGTATGATACACTTATGGTATAAATTTTATGGTATGGTATGGTGTGATATAATTATGGTATGATATGGTTATCGTATGGTATGATTTTCATGGTATGGTATGGTGTGATATAATTTTGGAATTATATGGTTATCGTATGGTATGATTTGGTTATGGTTAGTTATGGTATGATATGATTATACGATATGATTATATGATATGTTGTGTATGGTTATGGTATAGTATGGTTTTGGTATAGTTATGGTAAGATATTATGATAGATGCAAAAAACTGAAGGATAAGAACCGTACTGGAAAAATTCTAGCGTACAAATGAGGTCGGCGCATATCATGAGGAACACGAAATAATCCAGGAAGAAAATCATAATTTCAAACCTGAATGCAAAGTAAAATTTTTAGTTCATGATTTTGGTGTGAAAAGTGCACAACTTTACTTCCCTTACCATTTTAGATAACACTGTACATATTAAACGTAAGTAGTGCTTTCAAGAATGTATCAAGTTTTTATCTTGCAGTGCCTCTGGAAAGTTTCTCAGAACAACAACACACTCCCATTCCAATTTCTAGAAAATCAAGAAAGTTGTACTTCAATCGAAACTTAATACCAGATGATATATTATGATGGAAAAGTTTACCTGTTGTAAGCACACAAGAATAACATTCATTGCCTCGTTTTAAAGCAGTGAGACAATCCCGGTTGTCTTATCTTCTGCAGAACTAAAACAAAAATGAGGATGTATTGAATTTGAATTTTTTGAATTTAATCACATTATTACCAAAAAGTAGAGGTAACAGGTGGCTGAACAGAGCATGGCCCCAATTGACATTAGCTACCGGTAAAGCAACCAGAGAGGTGCTGAAATCACCTAACGCTCGCCGGCACTGTTTGTCTAGAATAAGGCTAAACTCTGTATGAAAGGTATCTGTATGAAGCACAAATTACCGATCTTTTTATTACAAATTACAAGGCTAAAATCCGCGTTGGAAGGTAATATTAAGCACAAACTTCAGATATTAGTTGTGACCTCAGAATTACTGGCCAAAACTGGCCTCGGAATTACATTAGTTTTATTTGTGACCAATATTTCTTCCGTTTCTCGCAATCCGCGCACGTGATATCAACAGGTATGTTAACGGACCAGGCAAAAGTCCCTGCTTTTAAGCCG